AGGATTAACTTCAGATTTCCTCACGGAGTTAAACTCGATTGGGGAATTCTAGGAATGTATGCTACAAAACCAGAAGAAAATGGCTTTTTTTTTTTTTCCTTTTTTTTTTTCTTTTCCAAGGATATGAGTTTTACATGAAATCGGGGGCATTACACTACATTTCTGCAGTGTTGACTCTGCATGCTAAGTACATTGTATATGGAGCTCTTACCAAAGATGTATGGGAAGATAAAAATACCGAATCCGCTTCTGGAATGGAATGCTTTGGACCACTTAAAAGTTCCTTTAGAATATGGTTCCAAAAGCCTCGATGGGGGTTGCAAATGGGACTGAACGGGGTCTTGAGGCTAGAAGATAGAGCACTGATTGACCGTAAGCCTTCCGACGTTCGACAGAGTCTGCAAAGGCTTCACGTAGAACTCTGAAATCTCAGCTCTAAGGAAGAGGAGGTGAGATTTTTTTTTTTTTTCACTCAAGGCTTTTTGCCGTTGCTCTATTTTCTAGCTTTTTTTTTTTTTCTGTTGATGTAACTTAACAAGTAGTGTGGTGGTATAAAGACTAAAAATACAAGAATATGGTTACTGTTTTCTTCTGGAGCATAAATAAAATAGCCAAGCACAAAGTAAATGCCTAAACTGGAAAACTTGAAGCTCTATTAATGGTTGTTGAACTTTCTTGAATCTATTCTCAGTCAACATGAAAACTTCGATAACTTCATTTTTCGTCTAAGTTGATTTACTGTGTTTTCAAGTGCTGGGGCAGACTTCTTTGCTAGACTTTGCATTAAGTTGAATTCACAATTTTGTATTTCCTTAGCAACTTTGTTATTCTGTTTTTGTAGGTGAAAGGCAACTGATTATGCTTCTGAATTTTTTTAATGTCTTTTGGGGGGGGGGGGGGGGTAGAAAAAGTTACTGAAACATGTGGCAGCGACGTCAAAAATAAATGGCCATTGCTACTGAACAAAATATAAAGGTTTCACTTTCAACATGACCTTTACAGGTTGTAGCTGAACCTCACCACGATCTAGTGGCTCTCAGGCAGTAAACGTAGCCTGTAGGACAAAGTGGCGATCTGTAAGAAATCCTATGATTTAAAAAACTAATCTGGAGTTTAAGTGCATCAATTTGTGTTCATGTGAATTTATGGAGTAAGTTTTGAATGGCGTTAATCGTGTCTGATAAGTGAATGAGTTTGTAGACTGTGATCTCCCTGACTAAAGTAAACAGGAATTTTGTGTTCTCAATATGGCTGTAGTGTTGGTAAAGAACTAATAAGCAGAAAATAAAGCAATTATACAGCGGAGCTCTCCTGGTATGTTACTTATATTTAATTATGAGAGAAACAGAAAGGGGCAATATGGTGCTGGAGTAGAGCGTTCTGCCGACATAAAGAGGCCTCTGTTCTGTATCTCACGGTTTTGAAAGCCTGTCTGTAATTCCTTTGAGACTTAGATTAGCGACTATTTTTATAAGTGGAAAGGATGATACTTCTTTAATACTCCCACTTGCAGTTAACAAATCTTTAGCAAACTTCAGTGTCAAATCGGTACCGCCTCGGCGCCGGCCCCACGTAACTTGGGAAGGTGACCGGCTCCGTGGGAGGGCACGGAGGGACTGTCGCCGAGCGGGACGGTGCCGTGTTTCATGGAAGAAATTACTTGGTCGGAAAGGGACGATATTAGGCCAGCGTAGAAAACGCAGCGATGGACAAAAGGGTCGATGAGCAGCGAATAGGGGTGCTCGCAGCACAACCGATGCGACGCTGGGACGTCTTTGGTGCCTGGACGGGACAGGAGCGAGGCGATGAAAGGACTTGGGCAGGTGCGGAGGGAACGCGCGGGGGCCGGGCGCCGAGCAGCAGCCCGAGCGGGGCTGTCGGGCTGCTCGGGCAGGGGCTTTGCTGACGGAGGGGACGGCGGAGGTTTGGAGGTAGCTCCCAGCAGCCGCAGGTGCGAGGCCAGGCGTCAGCCGCTCGGGACGGTCTTCTTGTCGCAAAGCGTCCGGGGACGTCATTCGGCCAGGTGGGAGCACCCGGCTGCAGGGGCAGCCGCAATCCTCCGCAAAGCCTTTTCGTTCCAGGGTGTTTAGGCTGGGCTCTGGTCTACCTGAATGTCAGTTAAGGGTGTGGCTGTGTAAATGAATTTACTCTGACTTAATTAAGCGACTCGGAGTTTGGAGACAAAGCTCCAGAAGAGTAAACTCACGTCTCTCTCATTGTAGCAGTTAGTCATTTTTCAAAATGTCAGCACTTATCGTTTTAAATCGGACCTTTGTTACGGCAGCAGTTAGCGTGGCTCCCGAGAGCACCCTTCCCGAGCCGTGCCCTGACTCACGCTGCAGCGGGGCGTTTTTCCCCAGCCGCAGGGCCGCGGTCCTCACGGACAGGGGTTGGAAAAAACGTGCCTGCCGTCCCCAATTGGAAATTAACCCTGCTAATATGATAGTCCTCCCAAAGGAATGGCTCTGGGTTTCAAAAACTGAGTTGCATCGTCAAAACAGCTGGCCGCAAGATCTGTGATAGCCGGTGGCCTCGCTGGCGGACCGGAGCGTTAGTTCCCGTGTCGCTGGGAATGGGAGAAGCGGCGTCGGGAGCGGAGAACTCGCTCTGGAGCACGGCAGCAGCCTTGGTGTGGGCGCCGTGACTCGGACTTCCCGCTAGTGCACGGTTGTGCTTTTTTATCTTGGACTTGTTTCTAATACCTGCCCGGCCTGAAGGGCTCAGTGTGTGGAATCTGAAATCACCCCGGCTTTGCTGCTTTCTGGCAAAAAAAGAAAAAAAAAAATCTTTCCCCTTGCTTTGGCAGGGAAGCGTCAGCTTTCAAGAGCTGTTGGTGAGTTAGTGGCATCTCCGCTTACTGCTTCTGTTCCTCTTCCGACATCCTAAGCACGACGCCGGCACCGATGCCGCTCAGCCCTCTACGTTTCAGACTTCTCTCTAAGCAGACGCTTTCAGGACTTCAGGCCAAGGTGGATGACTGGAGCACCGCAATCCATCTCACTTTCAAAATTTTAGAGCGGTGTAATTTTAGCCCTGCCGTCAGTTCTGGAGGGGCGAAGCGGGTGAGTCAGAGCCCCGTGGTGCTCGGCAGCGAGGGGTGCGTCCCCGGCAAGCGCCGCGAGCTTGCGTGAAAGGCGGCTTTTTATAGGCGGTAAAACTGGGTACGCGGCGTATTGTCCAGGAAGTCGCTCTTCTCTTGCTTAAGAACAGGTATCTCTGGCCTCCTTAAAAAAGAGAGGAGGGGAAAAAAAAAAAAAAGAGTAAAGATGTGAGTCATCTGCTGAGTTCTCCAGCCTCAGAGTCTCACAGCGGTTTAACAGGCTCAGGCCCTTCCTTCGCCTCAAGAGAAATGTTTTGCCTTCCAGAGGATGGACTTCATTCCTCTGTTACTGGTTCCTTTAGTTGCATCTTTTAGGACAGCACTAGTTAGAAAAACTACTGAAGCAGGATTTAATGGGTGTCTGTTTTGTGAGAGATGGAAATTGATAACGCGTGAAACTCGGTAACACTTGAAACCCTTGTTCTCCCGTAGGAGTTTTCAGATAAGCGCAACCTCGAGGGGGAACCACCAGCAACTCCGGGCTCCGTGTAGGTACCCCCTGTGCCCCGACTGCCCTCAGACTTGGTGAAAACTCACTCAGTGGTTAAAAAGAGAAGAAAAGGAAGCCAAAGTGTAGATAAGCTGAACTCCTGAACTTGTTTCTGTCCCTGTGCCTGGAATGGATTCCTTGTTTGAAATATAACGAGGGTAACGCTGACTGGCCAGGCGCTGGCTTCATCCCGAAGTTTCTTTCCGATGGAGCAGGAGGGGAGGGTTTCTCTCTCATCGTTGCAGGAGATGAAAACTTGTGGAAAGCTGCAGCAAAATGCCGCGTTGCATGGCGAGAGTTGTTTGGCTGTGTTACGGGGGTTGCACTCTTAATTCATGGTTCGGGGGGGAAGTGAAAGACCTCAAGGCAGCTCGCGTTGCGCTCGGCTGTCCTACTCCGGCTTCGGCCCCTGCAGCTGCCGGAGAGCAGGACGGACGGGGTGGGCTGGCTGGCAGGCCTCGGGAGCGAGGGAAGCATTTTCCCAGGCTTAACTAGGACTATTTGAGAAATCTATATTGCTCTTCACGTGCCTGAGCTGCAGCGATGCTTGTCCCCAAGCCTGCGAGGGTCCCTCAGAGGAAGGTACATCATGGGGAGGCGGCCAGCCTCCAGCACCTGCCTGGGACATCGCTGCTGGGGACGGAGAGAAGGAAAGCATCCAAGGCCGACACCAGCCCCGAAATACCTCTGGCATTCGTTTGAAGCTGGTATTCGAAGAAGAAACTCGTGACAGGAAGGGCGGGAGGTGCATGGGTTTGCAGCGCCGGGGTACGGCTGCAAGGTGGAGCCGACGCCGGTCCCGGTGCTGACAGCTTCTAACTTGGAAGTAACGTTTGCTTGGCATAGTTTCTCAGAAGGAGACTTTGCACGCGTGGAACGTGGGGTTGCGTAGTCTTCATGCTGTCAATATTTGCTGTTTCTGCCCTGAGGAGCGTTCTACATTTTCCTTTTGAAAAGAGGGGGCTGTTGTGGAGCAAGCGCTAACCCCGTGGCTGTTAACTTCCAGCTGCCGCCCATCAGCGGACCAAGGTGCGCTCATGCAGTTATCCCATTAGCTTAACATCTGCCAGAACGCCCTTTCCCCACAGGGGCTGGATTAGTCTGGAACTGACCCAGCTCTTCGGGAAGCTTTTCCTATCACGTACTTGTGGCTTTCAGTCTGCTGCCCCAACCATAACCAAAGCCAGCGCCCGTTTCTCACCGTAGAGAGGAAGCTTTTGCAAGCAGAGCAGTGATTTGGCTCTACCTTTCCCTCCAAAGCAAGTCTGTCTGTCTAAGTGTTCAAATTGCATCGTGTTTAAATGTTCAAATTGCATCCTATGTATCACGTAGCTACTCGTATTTTCGATCTAAAGGGTTGTTGACCTGCACTGCGCTGGTTTTCATGTCAGCACTGAAAATAAAAGCATTTCAAGGGGGAGGCGAGGGGCAGCGGCAGAACAGACGCTGCTTGATTTCTTCTTGCTGCCTGATACCGAGGTTCAGGACAAACTTCCCCCCACACCTGCTACCTGGAAGATGAGCCAGGCTCAGCGAGGGCCGATGTGAAAGTCGCTGGCGTCCGGTGCTGCATTGTGGAAGGCATTGAATCGCTGCCAACGAGTTGTCCCTGGATCTCGCTCTGGCTCATCTTACAACCTTGGACTAGTTAATGAGTGCAAAGTCCTCCAGCCCTTGCCTCCAAGCATCTTGAGTATGTGGTGCGTGTGAGTCAGGGTCGCCGTCGGCCGGGCTGGGACGCTGCTGGCCGGGCGCTGGCGATGCTCCTGGGCTGCTCCTGCCAGGCTCCTGCAGCTGCAAAGGCACCTTTTTGCCTCAGAGCTGCTTCTGGCCACTGCGCTGCAGCTTTCTGGCCTTTTTTAGGGAGGGATGGGAATATTTCAGACCAGGGTAGTGATATGTTCTCCCTGAAGTAATGCCGTCTGCAGCCTTGCAGCTGCAATCTCAGGATCTCAGCTCCTGCCTTACCTGTTTGGCTGATACCTAGTAAAGAAACGCTCTTCTGCATTTTCCCCTTGATAGGAAGTTACACCCTTAAACACAGTACCAAAGCTTCCCAACTTTTGGTTCCATCGTGGACCTTATTAATGATTTACGAAGGGGGATGCATCTTCCCCATGAGGACGAGCTACAGCTTTTCACCTCATTTGAAGCCGCCCATGGGTTTCCTTTAACCGAGGCCTCCTGAAACCCCTTGCTTCAACGCTATGCTTGCTTTTGCTCGTGGTTGCCTCTTTACCACGCGGCATCCCCCAGCCCCGCCGTGCCGTGGGGGAGAAGGGGCTCCGCAGCTTCTCCTTCCCCTCCTTCACGCGCTCCAGTGGCTCCCGGTCCTCCCGGAAACGCTCCAAGTAGTGAAACTGGTTAATCACGTTGACGCTGAAGGAGTGCTGGCATCTGAGCGGGATCTGTGGATTAACTCGTTCCGCCCGGTGTTTGCCAACTTCTTGGCAGCCTGATGCATTATTCAGCAGCCGCGCTGCTTTTGGGCCTTCGGAAAAACTGGAGCTTCCCAACACTTGAGGGTTTTATGAACTGACGTCTCTTCTCCGAAGGTCGCAGCTTCCTCCTCTCTTGGATTCCTAATGAACCACAGGCAGCTTAACGCCGAGACCTGGAATATTTTGCTGCCGGTTCCCGTAGTCTGGAGAGGAGGCTTACGGCAAGCAGGCTTACTCCTGAGCTCTAACCCACCTCCCAGCGACCGCCTTTAAAAAAAGAAGCTGCTATTTAAGGCATCGGATCTGTGGATGTGTTTAACATCTGCCAACTCCCCAGCATCCCCAGGTTGCCAAAAATGTGCACCACGGCACCAAAGGCAGCGCCGGGACAGCCGCGCCGCAGCTGCGTGGGTACGAACCAGCCTGCTTACAAACCTGCAGTTCAAGCCGGGGCGCTTGCAGATGACAGATAGGGAGGGTGAGGTGACTAATGAAGAATAAATATCCTGTTGCGCCCTCCTCGTAGGCAGCGATGTCTCAACACACCGATGGCAGATACGGGGAGGTGGGAGGTGGGGCACAGCCGGCTCCATCAGCTCTGCTTTTCTTTTGCCTCCAGGTGTAAGAGAAAAATGGGGTAAGGCAGAAGCTGGCGTGGCTGGGATGCTCCTGGGGGAGGCAGGGGATGGGGGCTGCGCGGAGGGCGGTGGGGACGGGAGGGTGACAGGTACCGGGCAGAGAGGCAGAGCAGTGCCTGGGGGAGGCTCTTTCTTCCTCAAACGCATTTACGTCCATTGGTTTCAATAGCAAAACCTGGATTGCTGCATCCTTTCCCATACTGCGATGACACCTTTGAGTTTACGCCAGTGGAAGGCATTTGCAGGGCCATCAGGTCCGAGACGACAATTTTCCATCTTCTCTGATTTTTCAAGGTACTGCAGAGTTGTTGTTGTCAAAGCCTCTTCCCCGTTTTGGAAACATAATTGAAATTATGCAAATGCTGGTGCAGCACCAGTGAGTGAGTGATGCGCTTAACGCCCCGGCACAGCACCGCTCCGACGTGAAGCTGTTGTAACGCGAAAGCCCCGCGCCGGCCAGGGGGAGGCTGGGGGCTCGGCCCCGCTCCTGCCGCGGCTCCTGGTCCCACCGGCACCGGCGCCTGCACCGAGCATCTGACCCTGCTCCGATGATGCTCAGAGCAAAGCGCAGAGCTCGCTGCATTCATGCCGAAACACCTGATACGTGGTGGGGTGTGAGTGCGGGGATGGTGCCTGGATCCGGTTACAGTTCGGACCTGGGATATGGTTCGGGCATTGCCCTGCTGACCTGGCCCTGAGAGGGAGCGAGCCCCAGCTGGGTGAGGTGCTCGCAGCCACCCTTCGGCTGGGCGGCACCAAAGCTGCACCGGTGCTTTGCAACTCAGCCGCGATGGTCAGCGGCGGGAGAGGCAACGAATAAAGTCTTAGGCTCGTGGGAGAAGCTGGCTGGGTGGCATCTTGAGCGTCCTCTTGGAGCGGGATCCTGGGAGGGGCTGCCGATGCAAAGGCAGGCCCTCGCGGTGCACAAAGTCCTCCTGCAGAGAGATTTGCAAGAGGGAGGAAGGAGGATTTTGCCAAGATAAAAGAGCTTCCCCCCCACACCCATCTAGGCCTTTCCAACCACATGTCCCTCAGCGGTTCCTCTTTTAGCACCGCGTCTCCCAGAAAAAAAAAAAAAAAGTGTTGACTGCAGCTTTTCTGGAGGCTGCAGTGCTCTCGCGTCGGTTAACGCACAGCTTTTCCCCGGCCTCCTTCCCGCTGCGGTTCTTAGGCTGAAGGCAATCTTTTCCGGTCTGATCGCATGGCCAAGGAATGTATGTGCATATACAGTGTGTGTCTGGAGTAAGTTAAGTGCCAGCAGCGAGGCTTTCGTGAGCAGCACGGAGGAAAAAATGATGCCCAAGTTGCTGCTTCCCCAGTTCCCTCTGGCTTTGGGACGTCGATCCGGCAGGCGATGGGCTGCTCCGTCCCGACCTCGGCCTCTCCGCCTGCACCGTGGGTGCATGGCAGCGATCTCTGCCTCTCCACGGTCAATAAAATGTTTGCCAACTGGAACAAAAATATTAAATCCGGTTGGCTTGGAAGGTAATGCCGGCTAATAAATAAACGGGGTTGGAAAAAAAACCCTGGGTGATCCAGCGCTGCAAACAAGCATGTCATTCAGTGCTCCCTGCGAGACACCGCGGGAGGGTGCAGAGGGTGACGGTAGTTAATTAAGCGAGCAATTAATGCTAGATGTGAAGCTGCCTCCCAAAGACACAAGGAAATCCAGACTACAGCTGTGCTGGCATTGCTTGTCCTGGCAAAGCCCCTGCCCGTGCTGGGAGGGGGGGGGTTGCACGTGGCGCCTTCACTTGCAGGCTCTGGTCCGTATTCCAGGAGAAGCACCAGGCTGGGGGCTCGGCATCCCCCAGCGGGTCCAAAACCTCTCCATCAGCTTTGGTGGGATCTGTGCTGCCCGCTCCCTCCCACCAAAATGGGCCTGGAAAATGCCGTCTGGGACGGAGGAGCGGGAGGACCAGCGCAGCAGCGCGAGCTCCCCGAGCATCTTTCCACACCAGCTGCTTTGTCAGCTTGGAGCTCTTGGAAAAAAGAGCGGGATGATGTTTCTGTAGCAGAGCCAACATCTAACGCACTCCACTTGGCTACAGGCCGAGCGTGGGGCCGTGGTCAGGCACGGCACTGGATGCAAAATGCCTTTAAATGTAGCTCTAATTTAGATCTAAATCTAATTCTGCGCGCTGGGGGTGAGCTCACCCGCCCCCTGCTCCGCACTGCTGGTGGCGACACGTCTCGCTGCTGGAGATGGCCACTGGAGCCTGGTGCAGCAGCACCAGCATGGCTTTTGCCAAAAAGCCTGTCGGCGGGTCTCCGTGCATCCCCGACCCAGTCCCTGCAGCAACAAATGAAACCGGGGGAGAGCGGCTGGGAAAGGCGAGCGGGGCCACGGCGGGGGCTCCCTTTCTGCACCCCCTCCTGCCTGTGGGCGTCCGTCTGGTTTTTGTATTCACATCGCCCAACCTAATGTCCCACTGACAGCAACACGCAAACATGAAAGCCACCCAAATGCTGCTTTCTGCCTTTGCACGCTGTAAGTGAAAGCGAAAAAAACCCGCGATGACTGCTGCTAGCTTAAATTGCAAAGGTGTGCGTGTGTATATATATATAAATTGCAAAGGTTTATCTACATTGGTGTTCAATGGGTGCCCAGCTGAAAGCATCCCCTTCTTGGGATGCTTAACCACTGCCGGTGGCTGCAGGGCAGCTGGTCCTGGCTAAAACCCCAGAGGAGATGGGGACATTCGTGAGCCGGGACTGCAGAGCCTGACCTGGTCCTGCATGGACTTCCCAAACCTGAGGCTGGTGACGCCTGTTTGGACCTGGTGTTTTACTCCGGGGCAAAACCTTCACGCTCAAGCCACAGCACCCCCTTTTCTGCTTAAGCTAAAGGCCCTGGATGGCTGCTGGGGGGGGTCACAGCAAGGAAAAGGGGCCCTGACGTGGCTCCTGGTGCTGTCTGGTGATTTTTTTGGGCAGACACACCATCCTCACTTGGTTTGTGGGAAACTCAGGGACTGGATCTGGGTGCTTCTGCCCTTTCTTTACATGAGTGTGAAGCCTGTCTCCCTGGCACCAGCCCCCTTCTTCCCAAAATATCCCCTCCACAAAGCTCTCGCAGCTCCGACTGCCCCGGCAGCATTGGCAGGGCGTTGCCTGCAGGCCTTTCCACTGAATTATATATAACACTTGGGTTTGGGGTTTTTTTTTGGAAGGAAATCTGTTGCCAAGCAATATAGCTGTGGCCCTGCTTTCTCCTCCCAAACCAAGATCTAAAAGCACGTTTATGTCTGCAAATATCTGATACATCTGAAGCGGGGTTGCAGGAGGCTGGATCACAGGTTATCTGGTGGAAAAGCCGCTGGCGGGGCTCGGAGAAGGCTCCCCTTTCGTTTTCCAGAGGCTGCAAAGTTGGAAGTGCAGAGTTGTTTGATCCCGGAGGCTGCAGGAGATATGGGGGATCCCGAGAGCCCCTAAGGGGCTCCGCAGGGAGGGCAGCAGCGGGCTCTGCCATGGTTTTACACCTGGCATGTGTACAGTCTCCTGGACAGCACGTCATGTAAAAACATTGGGTTTTCCCCCAAAAGAAGGGTGCTGCAATGCGTGGACCAGCCCCGGCATGGAGCCATTGCGGGGGGAGGGGGGTCAAATCTGAGCGCCCCAAAGCCAGAGAGCGAACATCGGCGCCCGCAATCACGCCGCTCCTCAATCAACGGCGCCCACGTGATGGCGGCGGGTGTAGATTAACAAGAGGGTCAATATTGACCCAAGTCCCACACCTGGGAGGCTGACAGCGCCCGTTCGCCTCCTTGGGAAAGCTCTGGTGGGAACGACGGCACCCACCCCATGGTTGACTTTGGCCCCGGTGCCAACGAGCATCGTCCCCGCCGCAGCCCTGGGCTGGGGGGGCCTGGCTTCGCTGCAGGCACAGCCAGGCTGACACCCCAAAACGCAGCCGTGGGAGGGTTTCACCTCTCAGCAAACCGGAGGGATACCAAGGTTTCTTGATTTTTTCCCCAGCTGTTCAGCTTCGGAGGGAAATCACACCAGCGTGCTTTCCTCATTAAGCGCTGTCATATTTTCCAGACAGAGCCTCAGTGTGCAATGCTGGAAATTAAAGTTATTCTCCTTTCTCAGCTGAGATTGCTGAAGGAGCTTAGATTTAACGGGGTGCCAGCAAGCCCCCGTTTCCCACCGCTGAGCCTGCAGAGGCACTGGGATGCCCCGTCCCCTGCTGCCACTCGTCCCCCACCGCATTTTCCCCTCTTTTCTCTCTCGAGCACGTCTTACATTAACGTGGAACTAAAACGAAAGCAAGCAAGGTCAGTGATGCCAGCAGTGTGGCTCTGCAAGCTCCCCGTACCCGGGGCAGGCTGCGACGGTGGGCGGAAAGACGTGTAGTCCAGGAGCGAACCCCAGTTTTGGCACAAGGATCGGCTGACGGTGCCGAGGGTTTCACCAGCCCGGGTGTGTGCGGGAAGGCAGGCTGTGATTTGCATCGCCAGATCACAAGTTGCTTTTAAAGGATGTGACCTAATTAAGTTTCAGCTCTTTTCAATATGATTTTCATAGTCACGCGGCTTTTCCTGACCTGTGTAACCAGCCGTCCCGGCAGGGATGGTTCGGGGTTGGAAGTGGAAGAGGAGAAAACGTCTAAATTCCTCCTGGGAGCAGCTGCGGAGGCGAACCCCAGGGTCCCTCCAGAGCCCCTCTCTGCACCCAAATCTCACTCCCCATCATGAAGCCGACAGCCTCACGGGGCTCTCCCCATCCCTGCAAAACAGGGGGCTCTGCAGAAGCTTGGCTGGAGGGGGGCTTAGTGGGCAAGGGGATCCCAGGGCTGGCAGCAAGAGCTTTTCTCCCCAAAACCAGCTGATTAGTGCAGAAGTTTGCTTCAGAACAGTTGTGGGGTTTTTTAAAATTATTTATTATTCCACTATTTTTGGTGTTTAGGGCCAAAAAACCAGGGTTTCTTGCTGCACCGTGCTCCCTCCCCATCCCAAATACCACCCGACCTTCGCTGTCAGCCCAGAGATAGGCTCAGCCCAAAGCCGGGCGACCAGAGGCTGCGAGAGCTGGAAAAATAAATCACTTCGGTGGACGCAGCGGCGCGTGTCGGATTGCAAACCGGAGCAAGTGTTTTGAATCCCGGTTCCCGCGGCTCGTGGTGCAGAGGGCAACCCAGTTCTCCCACCCCTCTTCCCGGCGTGCCCTGCCTAAATCTGGCTGGCTGGATTTAAGGCATGCCAGGAAGAGGGGTGGGAGAAGTTGGGGTGAACCTGGCCCTCCCCTGGACCAAGTATCCTTCCCAGAGCTCAGTGTCGGGACTTCCACAAGATGCCTCCAGCCAAGACGGGTCCCATCAGGTCTCCTAAGCACAAGGCAGCGCCAACCATCCCTTGCAACCGCCCCAGAGCCATTTAAACCCCAGCAAATATTGCTTTGAGTCTTAATTTTCCCCACAGGAATGTCCAGGGAGGGCCTGCTCGCCGGTGAGGGTAACGCATGTCCCCGGGGAGGGCATCCCGGGTGGTTTTTTGGCTGGATGAGCAGTATATCCCGCATTTCCCTGTTGCTATGGCAAGGGTGAGAGCCGGGATTTTTGTGCACGGGTTGGTAAATCGGGCCCGTTCTGCACGGCTGATTTGCCCTCCAATTAAGGGCATTCTTCACTTCCCCTCACAATTAGCATAAAGAAAACCAATTAACTCCTGCACGGTGAATGCCAAGCGCCACTTTCCACAGTGTAAAACCCTGCCCGCGTTTTGATACAGTCAAAAACCTGTTGATGAAAGACATTTGTCAGGCTGGAAGCAGACCCCACGCTGACGGCCAGTGCACACCCAGTCCCTATGGGAAAGCCCAGTTTTGTCCCCCCGGTGAATCACGGTCTTGCCTTTGCCAAACCCAGCTGACACTGGGGTTTGGCTGTGAACCGTGGGTTTGGGTGTAAAAGGAGATTTCTTGAAGCTTCCCGGCCATCCTTGGGCATGCTGGCACCCGCGTCTCCTCTCCGCCACCGCTCCTGGGCTGTGCCGGCCACAGGGCAATGCCGTGCTTTGCCGAGCACCCGGAGCAAACCGGCGGCAGGTATGAAGGGCACCTCCGCTTCCCCCCGACCGCCTCTGCCACCCATCCTCCTTTTTTTTATGACTAAAGCCAGCTGGGAGCGAGGCACGGGCTTGGCCGCAGGGTTTTACCCATCTCGCCGCTGCTCTCGTGGTGTGCACGCCCCAGCAGCTACGCCCGTAATCCCCACCATAAGGTGCGGCAGGTATTACCTGTTCCCAGACTGCTCGAACTTGCCCTGCGTGGCTCGGGCCGTCCCGAGCAGCTCCCCGGCTCCCCCAGGCCCCCCCAGATGAATTTGGGTCTTGCACGGTCAATTGCTCCCCCTGCCGGCAGCAGCTTTGCCACCCCAGGCAGCGGGACGGTGGCAGCAGAGATGAGCCATGCTCTCTCTCCAGCCTCCCAAAATAAATACAGGAGGACCTTCCTGGTGGGAGAGAACAGCAGTGTCCCGTGGAGATAAGGGGTGACCGGCGACATGGTCTGACCTGGCTCCCGCAGCACCGCTGAGTCCCTGGGATTTGCCCCCGGGATTCCCCGCCACTGCCACAACACCTTGCATTTGCCTGACTGATGCTTCCTTTCAGGGGCCACCCCGGGTGGCCCCAGCCAGCCTCGGAGCAGGGAGGTGACTTGGTGACTTCCAGCTGCCACCCTACATCGCATTCTCGGCTCCACCAGCTCCTCCTGCATTTCAGTTTCCCGGAGGAGCGGCCGTGCTCGTCCCAGCCGCCGCGCTCCGGCTGGTTTATCAGCTCCCGGCTGACCTGGAATGGAGCCCGTGTCCTCCCCAAGCCTGGCACTGCCCAAAATCCCAAGTGCCGGCACTGCCACGCTCCCGCTGAGGGATGTGCCCTGGGTGGGGGGACAGGCGGCTGCCCATCGTCTCCCCCCTCCATGGCAAACTCCAAAAGGCCCCCCATGCCATGGCTCAGGGTGTTTGCTTTCCTCGGGCGAGTTGGTAAACGCGGGGCGGCCACGTGCGGCCCCCTCCCTTCGGCACGGCTTCGGGGGGGCTTATCCATGCCATTCACCAAAAACCGCAGCAGCCATTTGGTTTGGAGGGTTTTTTTGGGTTATTTTAACAGAAATGAGGTGCCCCTGGGTCCGGGACGCTGTGTGTCCCCAGGTTGGTTGCCCTGATAGGTTCCCGCTGCAGGGAGCAGCCCTGCAAGCTCAGCAGCGGGGCTTATCCATGCCATTCACCAAAAACCGCAGCAGCCATTTGGTTTGGAGGGTTTTTTTGGGTTATTTTAACAGAAATGA